ATGATATGGTTTTGAAAGCTATAAACAGAATGCATAACAACATAAGACAATAGAAATAAATACAAACATATGTCAAAATATAAATGGACTAAACTCTCCTATTCACAGGAAAAGTCTTTCTCATTGGATTGCAAAACAAAACCAAAAAAGTTAGAAAATACGAGTTGCAAAGGCAATCTGGGAGTTGCAGACATGTAATGGCAGAAGCTGTAATCTTGATGCAGTTGAGTTTGAGTTCAAGCTGGAAAGCATCACAGAAAACAGTGGCAGATGATTTTCAGTACTGAGGTGCCCAGTAACGTGGCATTGATGCTCAGAAGAGCAAAAATGAGGAGACGTCCAATGGATAGTGTGTAAGGCACCGGTTGTAGGGGAATCTTTTACTTACTAATCCATGATATGTTGAGTAGGCAAAGAACAATGCACAAATAGAATATGTATATAATATATATAAAACATATATCTGTAAAACCCTTATCCCCCAAACTAGAGAGCACACTATATTTAAAAAGTGCTTATAAGCATTCAAAAAGATTAATCAAAAAGATTAATATTAGGTAATAAAGACAACCTTTAGAAATTCAGGTAAGTAGAATTAATATAACTTCTCTTTAATATGATAAAATTTTAAATCAAGAACAAAACCAGAAAAAGGCTCTTAACACATAGAAATTAGAACATAAAACAAAAGACTCTATCTTAAACAATTCTTGGTTCAAAGAAGAAATGCAATTCAAAAGTACAGAACATCTAGAAAATAATTGTAATGAAATCACTTCTCATCAGAGCCCGTGGGAAACATCTAAATTTAAGAGTTTAAATATTTATATCATTGAACAAGAAGGCATGAATATATATGGATTAAACCTCTGGCTCAAGAAGTCAGAGAATGAAAGGAAAATAAACCTTAGTAAAACAAAAGGTAGGAATTTGTAAAGATCAAAGCAGAATTTAATAGGAAAGTGAAAAATGGTAGAAATAATAAGTCAAAGATGCCTGTTGTTTGAAATAAAACCAATAAAACATATGAATTATTCACAATTCTAATAAAAAATTAATAGGAAGCATTGCCACCCCAAATAAGAAATAAGACTAATTACCCTGGAGTTCTTGACTGGAAGGGGGCATGAGAGAGCTTTTGTGCATGCTTAGAATTCTGTCTTGACCTCAGTGGTGGTTACACAGGTATAGATGTGTGAAAAGTCACCAGGCTGTGTACATGAGATTTGGGCACTTTACTGTGTGTAACTTGTGCCTGAATAGGACAGAAAAATAAGTAAAAGCAAACATAAATCTAAAATGAATTGAGGTCTACCTTAATTCTATAAAAAGAATTATCAATTATATCACAACTCCATTTAAATAAATGTAAAAATCTGTATGAAGTGAATAATTTTTAGGAAAATGTAATCTATCAGTATTGACACCAAAAGAGAGAAATTTTAAACAGACCAATTATTGTAGAATAAAGTTGTCACAAAATCACTAGCTTTTCACAAATTCTACCATATCTTCAAAGTACAAACACATTGAAAACCATATGAATTTGTGGAGTGTGGAGAGAAGAGGGGAGATGCTTTTGGGAGTGAGCATTGCATTGACACCCACAGCTGCAAAGATCTCTCAGGCCTGTGTGTGCTCGTGTGCCTGTTTTCACACATGCTGTACTGGCAGTCAGTGGGGCGCTGGACGCCGCTGAGTGAGCGTGAGTACCCTGTGGCCGTGCATTCAAAATGACTGAGCGGGTAGAGCAATGAATCTACATCAAATTTTGCATTAAGCTTGAACATACCTCTGCGGAAGCTATTTGGATGACTCAGAAGGCTTTTGGGGACGATGCAATGAGCGCAGCGCAAATAAAGGTGTGGCACAAACACTTCAGATGTGATCGAGAATCTGTTGAAAAGTGATCCATGTTCTGGAAGGCATGCACCAAGCAGAACACCTGAGAATGTTGAGCACGTACAGGTTAAAAGACACTGAAAGAACCGTGTGAGGTCCCAAGGTGCCTACTTTGAAGGGGACTGAGGCTTCATTGTCCTATGTACGATCTTTCTTATATCTTTTTCAACAAATGCGTCTATTTTGCCTGTTACATGGCTGGACGCTTTTCAGACAGACCTGGTATTAGGAATGAACTTCAACAGCACATGAAAACGTACCATATGTGGTAGGGTTTATTCCAGGATTGGCCTGTTAGCTTGATTTCAGGGTTTTACTTTGTGGGAATTCCTTTCCACATTTGCTGGAAAAGCATTTGACAAAATCCAATATTCAGTCTTGATTAGAAACTCTTGATAAAATGTGAAATATGGGTAATTTCTCAGCATAATAAGATATATCTATTTCAACCAAAACTGACTTGCTATAAATAAGGAACTATTAGATCCGGTTCCAGAAGCCACAGACAACTTAAGGATGTCCAGTATCACAAGTGTCACCTACTGTCACTCTGGAGATGCTGAGTTAGACAAGGGAGAGAAATCAGGGGTATAAATCTTAGGAAGGAGGGAAACGGGAGAACTGTCACTCTGCAGCTGGCATGATTGTGTGCCACGAGAATCAACTGAAAATGCTGCCATCAACCAGAATCTAGGAAAGGTATGGGAACAAAGTTTTAAAATCATATGTACAAAAATAAGTTAGGTAATAGAAGAAAATACCCCTATTGACAGCAGCAACAAAAAGGTAATAAAATAAAATACCCAGGACTAAGGGCTGTAGACAATGTGCAAAATCTGTGTGAAGAAAGTTTTTACAAGCACTTGAGGACCATAAACCACGGCGTGTGAATGAGAAGATGTTGTCCCTGACCCGGGGCCTCAGCTTCCACAGGTGCTGATTCTCCCCATGCTAGTGCTTAAATCTAACGCAGTCCCAACCTTTAAAAGGAGCCTCTCTTTCTCTTTTTTTTTTTTTTTTTGATGGAGGAGAGTTGCGGACACAGGCACCAGGAAGGTGAGCCTGGGGCAGGTTCAGGCGACACCGCACCGCACAGGCGATGCCTCCTCCCTCGTCTTTCACCCACACGGGCCAGCCATGCTGTTCACGCACCATGGCGTGGTCAGGACCCACGTGGGGTCCATGAAGAGGGTCCACACCTCTTCCCTGAGGGGACAGCCGGGCTCCTGGCTCTTCTGCGTCCATCCAGGTCAGCACACTGTCATGTGCCCGTTGGCCTGTGCCGGGGCTTGTTAGAGTCCTGTGGATGTGAATGTGCACATTCTGTTCTTTCTTAGGTCTGGTGGTGGTGACTGAGATAATTCTTGATTTGTGGCTTTTGTTAGAAAAGAGCTATCCAAGGGCGTTTGCATGCAGGACTTCCTTTGTTTCCTAAATATCCCTGAGGCCAGTGCTGTGTCTAGATGCCAACAGCTGGGCGCCTATGTTCCTGGTGGTATGCAGCCCCTTGGTGGCTGCGCCTTCCCTGGAAGCCACGCACAGGGAGGGCCAACCTGCCGTGTCGCTTCTCACATTCCAGAGAAATGCGGGACCTTTCAGTGTGCCTTTCACCTGTGAGAGAACCAGGAAACAGCCGCTGAGATCTGAGATTCGTGTGATGGAACCTGGAAACCCAAGTCTGTGCAGGAGCAGGGGTCACCCCTGGGCGAGTGTCTTAGGCCTGAGCCACGGAGCCAGTGAGGCGAGGGCCTGCCTTCTGTATCTCCAGCCCTAGCACTGTGCCTGCCCTTCACATGGCAGTGCCTCTGCCGAGCACCTGTTCTGGCCGGGGCACTGGGCACACAGGGGCAGAGAGCAGCGGGCTCTGCACTCCCTTGTGCTTGCAAAACCCCATGTGGGAGATGGACCATCCTCAGATCCAGAGGCACAAGACCCTAGGGCAGTGCCCTGGGGACACTCAATAGGTGCCCTCAAAGCTCAGATGGGAGTCCTGGGCCAGGGAAGGACACGGCATTCTGCTGGGTCAGAAGGGAGAGCGTGACCCTCTCCGGTGGGGAGAAGGAAAGGGTGGGCAGAGTGGATGCACAGAGGCCCAGGCGGGACGGTGTGGGAGTTGGGGCAGGACCATTGTCCATGACACAACCTCAGCTAGCCCTGAGGGCAGTGAGTGTCTAGAGGAGTATGGTGATCCCAGGAGGGTATCAGGGCCATGTGCTTGTCCAAGGGGCACCTGCTACATTCTCCCTGTGTTGACAGGAACTGGAATTTCAGGATCAGGGAGGTGATGTCATGTTTCTGAGGTTGCAAAGACAGCAAGTGTCAGAGAGTGTGGAGACACTAGGGTTCCTCCCTAGGTCCTTGCAAATTCTCTCTTCTGTGCTCTGGCCCCTGAGGCCTTGAAGGCTCAATGGGCACAAGGGCAGGCCCTGTGGGCTGCCCTAAGGCCAGCTAGAGCCCAGTCGAAGGACACCGGCCCCAAGCCGCAGTGGCTGCTGGTGTTTCTGCCAGACTGTGGCCACATGTCCCCTTAGAGTGTACCTGGATGGAGGGAGGGGACGCCAGGGGTTCCGAGAGGCTGCTCTGGGCGAGTCTCCAGCACCCAAGCCCAGGCTGCCACCTGCATAGCCCAAGCCCATGCAGCCCCCCAGCCAGCGGCCACCTGCTGGCCATGCCCGTCTCCCCCCCACTTCTCTTCAGGCCTCCTTTGCCCAGGTGTTGAGCCAGTTAAGATCCACATTACCTCCTGGGGCTTGTTGGCATCTCATGCTGTTCTGTAGAGAAATTCGAAGTAGCAAAATAAATAAAATATTGTTGGCGTTAAAGCAACGGCAAGGTAAGGTAATGCTCTCTCCAGTCGTATGTCCCCTTCCCCAGGGACTCCAGTGCCCCAAAGGACTATGTGGTCTGTTGCTGTTCTGCAGACAGAAGCGCCAACACAAAGGAAACTCATGTTTCCACAAGTCAGATGCTCTGAGGCCTGGCAGTGCCAGCCCTAGGTGGGGTTGCTGCCCGTGGGACGCAGACAGGGCCGGGCGGAGGTTCTCGCAGCCTCTGGTGCCCCAAGTCTGGCTGAATCTTGGTCCTGTGTTTCCTCGTAGCTGGAGATGGAGCTGAAGATGCTCAAGGCCCAGTCGAGCTCCACTGAGCAGAGCTTCCTGTTCTCCAAGGAGGAGGTGGACACACTCAGGTATGTCCCAGGGAGGAGGGAGCACACCTGGGCCTGCCCTCCAGTGGCTTCTGTCCCCTGCTTCGGACCTGCAGCCTCTGCACTTTGTTCCCTTTTGTACTTTGCTACCAGCTGGAGCCATGGACGTCTCTTTCCAAAACGTTGCCTTCCTGGATAGCGTTTTGTTTTTAATCTCATTTCATCCACTTAGGCTCTTCTATGCAGAGACCCTGTACCCCGCACGCAGGAGAGAGCAGAGCTCCTGTCCCAGAGCCACCTGCTGGGACCTGCCTTTGTTGCCAATAAAGCAGTAACACAAGGCTAGAGCCACTGAGGGTCTATGGGCCATGGATTTGGGGAGGAGCACAGCAGGTGTGTTCAGAAGAAAGTCACTCACAAAGGCAGCAGCCAGACCAGACTTCTGCCCATGTGTCAAGCGGGACCCGTCAGTCCTTGCTGTGAGACAGCTGCCACCCTCCGCCACTGTCTTTGCCTCGGCACGTCCCGTTATCCCTGCTTCTTGCCAGGACTCAGCACTGGCTGAGCAGAGGCCGAAGGGTGGCTCTTTCCTAGTGCCCTTCACGTTTCCCTCTTCCCTGGAGCCATACCAGATGGCTTAAATAGGAGGCTTCCAGGGGAGGTGTGGGCAGAACTCCTGGCCTCCGGTGCCCAGGTTGGCCCTGCCATTTCAGCTTGTGATTGGAAGTGACTGTTGGGTAGGTCACGCATGTCCTACTGGAAGGTCTCATGGAGGCTGCCGCTGTGGACTCAGACTGAGTATGGCAGCCGGTGGCTCCAGGGGCTTCAGCGTAGCAGCCACCTCTCTGCTCTGAGCATCTGCTATGGCCAAGGTGCTGGGTGCCCAGGGTTTCTCTTGGTGGCACAGGAGAGACTGGCCATGGGGCCCAAACAGCTCCAGCAGGCACAGAATGGCCTCAGTGAGGTGTGGAGGTGGAGGGTGAGCAGCCCTCCCAGGCCCAGAGCAGTTGGGGGTCAGGATTTTGTCCCAGCAGACCAGGCTGAGCCCTGGCCCAGCAAGTGTCCAGCAAGTGGCAGCACTGGTCTCTTCTAGGTTTGAGGTTTTCTCCAAAGTGTTCTCATGCATGGACTATGGTATTGTAAATAGCCCTCTGGGAGCCCGCCAGGTTCTGAGGTGCTCATGTTGCCTTCGATGGAGCCCACCGGGTTCTGAGGTTCTTGTGTTGCCTTGGTTTGGTCGTTCAGTTGTTCAGACGCTGTGTGCTTGGGGCACCTTCAGGGAGCACCAAGGCTGCAGAGTGGTGAGCACAGACTCACGTTCTCTGCCTTCACTCATTTTACAGTGTGATGGGGACTGCATGTGGGATCATGGCTGTGTAATTACAGGCTGAGGGGTGCACTGCAGAGCAATGGGAGTGGGTGGTATCGGGCGTCAGGAGGGGCTCTGTGTATATCTGTGTGATATCCTGAGGTTGATGGGCAGGTGCAGGAGCCCATGTGGGAGGCTGGGTGTGGGAAGATGGCCAAGCCGTGCAGGGACAGACAGCAGGGAAGCTGAAGACCAGGCACAGACTGTGGGGAGGGCTTTAGTGTTTATCCTGCCAGTGTGAGGGTCTCTGCCATGGAGGAGCACACGGCCAGATGTGCAGCTCCAGCATCACTGGCTGCCGGGCTGGCGAGAGGGAAGAGGGACTTGGCAGGGGTGGGCAGCTATCCCTCAGCCAAGTACTGGTCAAGCGTTTGCTGTGGTCAGCCCCCTGTGAGCTGAAGTTGGCTATTGCCATGCAAAGAGCAATAAAGCGTGCTTCCTGCCACACCCCGACTTGCCATGATAAAGACACTCACAGCATGGAGGGCGGGCTGGGGGCCTTGAGAGCAGGTGGCATGTGAGTGGGCTCAGAGGAGCAGCACAGGGGGCTATCTAGCCCGGCAGGAGCCTCGGGCCAAGGCTGGGTGAGTGGACAGACGGGTCCCATGTATGTCTGGTGCCCAGGAACAGGCCGTGTGTTGCTGTCCCTGAGAAGGCATCCAGGGCCGCTTGGGTGCTGGAAGGGGCCCCGTGTAGTGGAGTGTTGTGAAGGGCTGGGGATTGCGTGGCTAGCACCTGACTCTACATGGTCCTGGATGCCACGGGAGGCAGGTGGCCCTGTGGGAGCTGTGTGGTGAGGTGCTAGAGTAGGGTGGTGACATTTGGGGAGTCAGTAGGTGTGGCCCCCAGGCATCAGGGCAGTCGCTGAGGCTGCAGAGAACTGGCTGCCACTGGGCCCAGCACCGAGCTCCAGCTGCCCTTGTGGAGACAGGCGTCATTCTGCCAGGCCTTTCAGTACCTGGAATCTCTCGCCTGCCAATGGCGGGAGGAAGGCCGGGCATGTGTCAGGTTTGTGTGGGCTGGTACACTTTAGATTTATTTATTTTTACAATTTAAAAAAAGGCCTTTATCATTGCTATCTTTTATATCCAGATCAAAGTGTCTCATTTGGAGAATGCAGCCGTGGAAAGAAGAGCCTTTGTGGCTAATTAATAGAAATCGGGTCAGCGCCTGTTAAGAAGGCTTTGCCGGGAGGTGCCAGCAGGTCACCCTCAGGTCTAGAGTGCTTCTCCTTGCAGGGGACGGCTGAGAGCTGGGGGTGGTGGCAGGCATCATCTTCGGCTGCTAACCTTTCCAGGCCCCATTTGGGACTCCCCAGCCCGTGCACGGTCCGGGTTTGGGAGCTGATGGCTTTGTTGGGAGCCCTGGTCAAGGCCATGGAACCTGCAGTGACACAGTGCCCAGCTGACCCAGCCTTTTGTGAGGGACACAGTTGGGACCATGTCTGGAAAACGGGGGCTTATGCAGCCCTTGCTGACTCAGCTTCTTAGGGGGACGGGATGCTCAGGCTGGACTGAGCGTGCAGGTGAGCCCCAGCTGGCCAGGTGTGGCCCAGACTGCCTCACCATGGTTGCAGCGCCTGTCCTCTGAGGCCTGACTCTTCTGCAGCACGACTCTGTCCTTGGACTTCAGGCCTCCTCCCTCCAGGAGCTTCCTTGCTGCGAACCCCATAGCAGGCTCCAGGCAGACACACATTATGTGCCTGTAGGCCTTGCCTTGTTGGGGTTCAGTGTGTCCTGGGTCTCCTCTGTGTCTGTAGCTCCCTGTTGTCTTGGATGAGGGTCCTCGTGGCATCTGCTTTGCTTTGCTGGGAAACCCACTGGGACCACCTCAGGCGGCCCTTCTGGCTGGTGGGGCTTGCCAAGCTGCAGACCTCTCCTCTGGGGAGAGCCATCTCCAGACGGCAGTTAGACCCCTGTCTGACAAGAACAGGTGCTGTAGTCCCCAGGTAGTGGCCCCACAGCATCTTTGTCTTCCTCTTCCTCACTCCCAGCTATTGGAGGTGTTAAGAGCACAGGGGCACAAAAGGCTTCCCTCTGGGTGAGCCCCTTTCTCCTTTTATTCTTCTTCCTCTCCCTCCCCGTTTCCCTCCTCCTCCTTCTCCTCCCCTCTCCCCCTTCCCTCCTCCTCCTTTTCCTTCCCTTCCCCCTGCTCCTCCCAGGGCCTGCCCGCCCTTCACAGTGACCATGGGGAGCCTAGGGGTGGTTCCCACGCACATGAACACACACACGCACACGCATACATACACACACATATGTGTTTTACATAGATATGTTACATATAAAAAGGCAGACAGATATATATTCTTTATATATAAATTACATGTATCACATTGCATGTTTTTCCAAGGCAGAGAGCCAGGGAGAGCACTGGTGAAGATTTAAGAGGCAGCAGCTGAAGAGCCCTTTCAACTGGAACAAATCTGAGCTCGCGCTTTTCTGCTGTCAACTAGCAGCTCTGGCAAATCCTAAATGTTGTCTGTGGATTTAGCAACTGGTAGACGTTCAGTGATTCCAGAGACTCGAGTTTCTGTGCCAACACCCGTTAGTCACACTCCGGGAGCCCCCTCATTTCCCGCCACACTCGCTGCCTTCTGGGTCCTGCGAGTGCCAGCCCAGCCCATGCAGAAGCCCAGTTCTGGGGGCTGAAGGATACCTTGGTTGTTGGGGGCATTGGAGATGTCGGCCCACCTCAGGGGATAGCTTAGTGACTCCCTACCCACCCCAGAGGGTCCCCACTCCTCTGGGGATGGCACGGTGCTCTATGACCCCCACCTGAGGGTCCCCACTCCTCAGGGGACAGCATGGTGCTCTGTGACCCCACCCACACTCCAGGGACCTGACACACAGGCCCATGTGCTTTTCACACAGGTGTTAGCTCTTTATGTTCTTTTAAACAAATTAGCTTTCATTGAACAAATCTCTACTACAGTGCTGTAAGTCCACTCATGACCCAATGTGTATCTGATCAGGAAGACAGTCCCTGCCTGGGAGTGCCCAGGGCGGCTGGTTAATCTCTGAGAGCCCAGCCCAGACTGCCACTGACGTTTGGCCTTGGAGGGCGCAGCTTCCATTTGTCCCATCCTGTTTAACCCTGCTGACTTCCCCTCTGCCGTGGACGGAGTCTGTGGGCCTGAGGCGCTGATCCCACTCGAATGGCAGCTGCAGCCAGGGCGAGGCAGCCCTCAAACCTAGGGATCCTAGGAGGGCTTGGCCCCATGGGTGCTGGAGCATGAGCTACCCAGGCAGGTACTGGGAGTCCAGGGGGAAACTTAGGCACCACCATGGCCTGCTACTCCCCCCAGCAGATCCATTGGGAGAATGAAGCTGTGGTCGGCAAGGCTCTGCACTCAAGGGCCGTGAGCCCCTGCCCAGCTGTGGGCACCCTGTCTGCAATGCCAAGATCTCCCAAGCTGCCAGTGGCAATGGCACATCCCCGCCTGGCTCCAAGGGTGGAGCTGGCGACCACGCTGGTGGAAGACAGGCTGGGTCCTGTTGCTGCCCTGGGGAGGAGGAGCAGAGCCACTTGGGTCTGGGTCCCCTGCAGGCCACCTTTGTAGCCCAGAGAACCTTCTCCTTCCCACCGGGACATGCTTGGCCTGGATCTGCCTCTTGTGCTGTGCTGGGCACTTGTGGCTTCTCCCTGGGTTCCATAAAGCTCTGTGCTATTGTTC